TTGGATATTATTCTACAAACATTTGAGAGAAAACAGCAAATTGACAAGCTCCTTTACCAGCGGACAATAGCCCACCTATTTGCTTAACCCATTTCAATTAATGCTTATCATTTCTGGACCCAGAATGGCCATAGCCTTACACATCAATCATGTGTAATGATTAGTCCTTGGTGTGACACTCCAAACAATCCAAGAACAATTTAAGAGTAAAAATATAAAAGGCTTTTAGGCAGAAGGAAATTCTAAACAGAAGAACTTTTGTTGGTGACAAGAGGGATTTAGGGTAAACCAGTACTTCAGTCAAGAATTCATGTGGTACTTAATAGGAGCAGGGGTAGTTTGTGGATAGAATATAACACAAATGTAAACCCCTAATGTGAGATAAAACACTCTTTTCAGAGTAGCAGAGAAGTATAATTTTGCTCAAAATGTTCATCCACAATTGTTATAACAGCAGCTAAATTAAATGCAAACACAACAGCTTCCTGGGAAAAAGTTGAAACTCTAGTTTCATGGATCATGACTTTGGGTTTTCTGTTGGACATATTTAAGCTGCCCTGCTTAAGGAATACATGGTAATAACTGTCTGTGGCTTATGAAGCTCCTAGCACACAATGAATAAAGTATGGAAAAATTTTTATGTATCACAAGTGTGAATTTTGGGAGAAGTGCTTTGTTAGAACCTATAGGACTTCTTTTCAATTAAAATGATAAAGAAAAAAGTGTCCTACAGGCAGTGGATACCCTTGTATCTTTGTGATGGTGAAACTGATCAGACAGCCATGCATAGTAGTTCTCACAGGACACTGGATCAAATCAGAGAACACACTCTGGCCCCAAACCTAGCTCTTCTGAAATGAGTTGCTTATTTAGTTTCTTATGCACACATTGCTAGTAACTTTACAGGTCTTATAGGAGAACAGATGTAAGTTCTAAGGCTGATCTGCAACCAAAATTGGATGTCAAGAAAGCATTTGTTAAGGGAAAGCAAAGGCAGCTGTTATTAGTGCAATCTTCTTAAAAAGAAGCTTGGGTAACTGGGAAAGTTGGGAGCATCCCTGCAAACACACGAAGGTTTTATAATCTATACTATTCATCTGAATCATTCTTTATTATTCAAAGGATTCATCTTTTTTATCCCGATGTCTGGTAACTGTTCCTGGGAACTAACTTTCTGCAGCAATATGGTGGACTCTTGTATGATGAGGTGACATCTGGGCTTTATTCAACTGGCTGTGGTGGAAAATGTGTCTTGTTAGGGGTTAAGCAGCAAGTGGATTTAATTTCTGCTTAAAGCTATCACAGCCATCCTAAAATAGAATACATAAAAAATCCTCTGTATTAGGAAAAGGGGCAGAACGTGATGCCAAATGTATATTTTTTTCTTTATTTATTCTCTGTAAGTCTGTTGGATGATAAATTGTAAATAACACTGATTAAAGAGTCATGCTACTGATGGAGCCTCCTTTTTGTCTAAGCAGTAATGGTTCTGGTGTTCTCTGTTATCCTTCCTCCTTACAGTGTTTGTGGAGAAGTGATGAGACATAGGGAAAGAACTACAGGTGCATGCAGCCTGCACATGTTTACTAGGGCTGTCCAACAGGGACATGTGAACGGGCTTGTTTGGTTTTAGTTGACAGCTAACTAACAGGGCTATGTCTCTGACATATCTAAACACAATAGAAACTGTGATTTTATATCTTCAAACTATTGTGCCTGTCTGGGAATCTGAGTCCAGCATTTCCACTGTTATCTGGAGGGCCTTTATTGTTATTGCTATGGAGGTTTTTTTTGTTGTTGTTGTTTGTTTGTCTGTTTTGGAAGAGAAACTTTTGCTAAATTCAAACATGGTCTATGTCAGGTAGCTGATCACACAAGCATAAACCAACAAAACTCTATACAATTGGAATCCACATTCAGACTTCACAATAGATTAAGGTGGAACAATCCTACACACATTTTACGTCAATCTGCAGAATAGGTTTCTGAGTACCATGAGCAGACCTCTTCCAGCTCTTGTCAAAGTAGATAAGAGAATGGCTCTAAATGCCCAAAGAATAGAATATTTATGATTGCTCTGTCTCTACAATGTCTGAGATTTCGAGACCCAAGACCAGGAATTTGTGTACCTGAGTGGTGAAACTGGGATAGAAGAAAAGGAAACAGGGGGATTGGAGATGTTCAGAGAAATATAATTCTGCTGTCAACACATATTGCCAGGGATTAACAGCAGAGATGAGTGATGATTTGCATCTATCCGTACACAAACACACAGACAAGCTATTCATATACAATATAACATGTTATTTATATATTTTATATACATATACAATATATAGAGATACAATATATTAATATATATTCATGAATATATATTCATTCAAATACAAAGGTTGTTGATGAATATGGAAATATGTCTACTTAGTTTTTCATTAGTAACTTGCAAGGGCTTGGTTGAGTTGCAGAGAACAAGAAAACTAATTTCCATTTATAGTTTTGTACTTATTTTCCATTTGAAGAAGTAGCCACATATCTGTAAATTGTTCTCTTCTATAGTCCTGGGATATTACACAGGGTAACATATGACTGTTTACCATCAATGAATTTGGTAACATTCTGAGTTTTGTGCCAGACTGAATGCATTATTTCCAGGGAAGAGGGGTGAAAAATATAAACAAGAGAAGCTGCACAGCCTCAACCAGCAGTTGTCCTGTAGCCCTGTTTGTACATTAGAAACTGTCAGTTCTGGGAATGTTTATAAGCACCAAGAATGGAGCTTTGTTATTGGAGCAAAAGATACTTCACTCATCCTTATCTACTATATGATAAAAAGAGCTAGAGATCAGTGCCAGAGCTTAGGGTAGAGGAGCATGTATTATATGAAGCCTAAATAGTGGTAGAATAGGTACACTTACTATTCGACTCATATACCAAGGCTTGTCAGTCATAGGTAGGCTCACTGTGTGCCACACTGTTCTGCTACCTAACAGAAGAAGCCCCTGACCAATATAAACACAAGATGAGTAGTTTAGAGTGATAAATAGAACAAAAACAACTCACTCAGCTATGGATTAAAATCTGTTTCAATTTGTTTGGGGTTGTGTCCTCTCTTGAAGGTCACAGGGCCTTGGAAGCAGCAACTTAAGTAGAATGAAAGGAAACACCCAGATTCCCTCACTGGGCTAAGAAGGAAGTGAGAGAGAAAGAAAGACTTTTCCTGAAGTCTTCTGGGCATCATGTAATTCAGAGCTGGTCCTATAGTACCTCATCTGAGAGTGTGGTGAGGCTGAATTCCTAGCTGACTCATCCAACCTGACACTGTGGTGTTTTCATGGACAAAGTACACACTAAGAACTACACAATAGAGACTTTTTAAAAATCTCAAAGTAAACCTCATAATATTTTTATTAAGCTTACAGTTTGGTGTTGGGCCACCTTCAGAGCTACCTTAGGGTATAGTTAGGCTATACCTCCTTGACCCTAGACTCTATGCTTTCTGACTCCTTTAAAGAAATGGGCTTTCTTTGGGAGAGCCACATAGTTCTTTCTACTCTCTTACATGACACCTCTAATGTTCAGGGCTTAAAAAGGATCACTTGGAGCCAGGGGGTAGTAGTGCACCCCTTACCAGCACTCCAGAGGCAGAGACGTGCAGATCTCTGTGATCTTGAGGCCAGTCTGGTCTACAGTGCTAGTTCTAGGACAACCAAGACTACACAATGTAACCCTGTCTCCAAAAAGCAAAACAAGAAAAGAGGAAGAGGAAGAGGAAGAGGAAGAAGAGGAAGAAGAAGAAGAGGAAGGAGAAGGAGAAGGAGGAGAAGGAGAAGGAGAAGGAGAAGGAGAAGGAGAAGGAGAAGGAGAAGGAGAAGGAGAAGGAGAAGAAGAAGAAGAAGAAGAAGAAGAAGAAAAAGAAGAAGAAGAAGAAGGAGAAGAATGATCCTTTGGGTATAGAACTTCAAGATTAGGGAGAATTTTACTTGAAAGCCTTTAGAAAATACTGTTAAGATAGCATCTTTGAAGAACTGATCAAAAATCCATTTTAACTTTTAGCCATTAGTAGGTACCATTAATCAAAACATCTAGATCAAAACCCAGAAAAGATGGTCTCAATCATTTAGGATCACTGTAATTCATAGTTTTTCTTGAAAGAGTCATGACATTTGTTCAGTTGTACTATGTGTATTAGTACTTTTATTCAATGTTACTCAGGACTTTTAACCATCTATAAATAGCAAAAGCTAGAATAAGGATTATAACAGTTGTTCAAGGTGCTTTTATAGGAATTGAACTTAATAAAAATTGAGGGTTGTAATTTGAACGTATTTGCCTTTCCCTCCCTCATTATCTAGCTTCCTCTCCACTACACCCCCTCCAAAATTCTCATCTGCGTTGGTTTAGCGACAAAAAAGGCCCTTTAGAGAGTCCTGACAGGCACTGAAGGCCATGGCAGCACATGTTTCTTTACAGAGCAACTCTCATTTCATTCCACATTCAGAGCTTGGAAATCGCTAGTTCATCTGTGACTCTAAATAAATAAAGCACAATAAAAATCCACGTTCCTTTTCTCAAAGATCATGCTTGAAAGAAGGGTCGGAAGATGGATCTACACTTTCTAAGAAGTAAATTTGGACTTCGGTTCCTGCACCCCACCCTTTTGCCAGTGTCCCACTGAAACTTCCAGTTCTGCCCATTGGCTCGCTTCACCGGAACAAAGACCCCGCCTCGCTGTGACACCTCCAGCAAACTGGAGGCGGTGACGACCTGGATTGGCTAGGACCTCTGTGTCACGCAGCTCCGCCCCTCGGCCTATCTCACCCCACCCGGCCCGGGCGAGGAGAGAGGATTCCGGGCTTCAATTGGCTGGCCTAGGCGGGGACGGATGACGCAAGGGGAGGCGGGGCCTGGCCGAAGCTTGATTGGCCGGAGTGCGCAGGGCGCGGATCGTGGTCCTGGCTGTAAACTGCTGTGGTCGGCGGTGCTGATTATCTCTGCTGTGCGCTGTGCAGGATGCGGAAGGTGGCTTTGATCACCGGGGCGAGCAGGTGAGGCCTGCTACGGAACCTCGGAGGCTGAGTTCCGGGGTGCGGGGAAACGCGGGTCGGTGACCCTGGACTCACATCGGTGGGGATTCCACAGAGACCTTGCCCTGGGCCTCCAAAGAGGCGTGCTCATGCTTGTCTCTCTGGGTGCTCGCTATCCAGGCGCTTTGAATTAAACATGACAGTGGAAAGAAAAACTAGAGCTCCAGTTACTGTTCAGCCTGGCAGTGACGCTGAGCCTGTGCTCTCAAGGGACCTGGCGGTTCCATTCAGACTCCACCATCCCCATCAGCGACCAGTCTCCAGTAGTTCCTGAAGGTGCCCACAGTTCACTTTCACCCCAAACACACGGTGTATCTTACACCCCGGTGTTTAAATGTCAGCATCCATGAACTTTAGGACAATGGGGAGATTGCATTCCTGCAGCACACTTCTCATACACTCCCCAGGAACACACCTAACGATCGCAGCCTCCTGTTAAGGCTTGTCCTAGTGCAGTCACCAGTTCCTAGATTTTTCAGGCTTGCTCAGTTGACCCTTGGCCTACTCTATTGCCTCCTAGATTTCTTATTTGTTCAGGAACAATGTACGGAGGATGAAACCGTCCAACCTTTACCCCAGCTGGTTACATTGATATTTTTTGAGGAATTAATACTGATCTAACCGTGTCCACATTAACTAAACCAGGCTAGGAGGGGTCGCTCTTGGGCATTTAGTTAGCATGCCCTTTCTTTTAGGTCAACTGGTTTTGGTGGTTCCTATGTGGAAGGTGCATATAGAAGTCAGGCCTGATCTTGTGTTTCTTTGTGCAATTGTGTATTTATACTAAAGGTCTGCTATTTTGAAGTAAGGATGATACTCCTGGCAGGTCCACCAGATTATGTGAGTTCCAGACTCTCATTGGGGTTCTGTTTACTGGCATTTTGCATGAGAATTTGCTAGTACCCAGGATGTCATTGCTACCAGCAACTGGCCCCATCTGCTGGGCACTTTCATATTGCTCTTTCTGACCTAGTGTATCTAAAGCCCCAGTGAACTACTGTGCTCCACCCTGCACCTCTGTCTTCCGCTCCATCTGATTGTATTCCTGCTTTCTGTCCACTTGAATGGAGGGCTTTTTCTTGTTGTCAGTTGCCCTGCTGATTTTGACAGGGATTTAACCTCCTGCCTTGCTACTATGCTTTCTCCTTTGCTATTTACAAAGCTCCATTCTTGGTGCTTATAAACATTCCCAGAACTGACAGTTTCTAATGTGCAAACAGGGCTACAGGACAACTGCTGGTTGAGGCTGTGCAGCTTCTCTTGTTTATATTTTTCACCCCTCTTCCCTGGAAATAATGCATTCAGTCTGGCACAAAACTCAGAATGTTACCAAATTCATTGATGTTAAACAGTCATGTGTTACCCTGTGTAATATCCCACTTGCCTTTGAGGGACCTAGTTAGCACAAAACAATGGGGGCATAATAAACAGATAATATGATCCTCTTGACAGCATTGCTGGGGATGTATTAAATCACAACACAACAGGTACCCTGAACCCTACCTCTTGTGTCATTGAACTATTTTGGGGGGGTAACTAGATGTGAGCCTAATCAAATGATTTATGGGGGGGCGGGATTCCATCTTTCACATAATTTTTAGGTGTTTTCTGTCTGCCTGAGTTTCTTATTGGAGAACCTGACACAGCCAGGTTTCTGAACAAGAGAGAAATGCCTCAATTTAAGGCCTGTCAATGAACTGCCCTGTGCCTGAATTGTCTTCTCAGTGGCATTGGGCTAGCCCTTTGCAATCGGCTGCTGGCAGAAGATGAGGAGCTTCGCCTGTGTTTGGCATGTAGGAACCTGAGCAAAGCAGGAGCTGTTCGAGATGCCCTGCTGGCCTCTCACCCCTCTGCTGAAGTCATCATTGTGCAGATGGATATCAGCAGCCTGCGGTCGGTGGTCCAGGGTGCAAAGGAAGTCAAGCAAAAGTAAGTCTCCTTTAGACAGATTCCTTTCTCGTGTGGTAGTGCAGCATAACATTTAATCAGATGAGAAAGGACAGGAAAATATGGAAAGGTAATGGGTGTCCTGTAAAATGAGTTGTGCCAAGGGCATCTACAGAATGACCTTAGAGCCCAGAAAGCTCAGAAGTACCCTTTCCAGATGACAAGCGAATCATTGTGTCTGACACCAGGTCTTTCCACCCTCAGTATTCTGTTCCGTTGGAACTCAGAAGAAATACTGATGTTGCTTTTGTCTAGATAGATATGTTGATCCTTTTATCTCTGAATACACTAATTATATTGTTTGATTGAAGCCAGAGTTGCATTCCCACATTTTTCTAAGCATTGCTTCTTCATGCCTCACAAAATAAGTTGTTACAACTAAAGTCTATAAATTAGATAATAGAATAATTAATCTGAGGTCCCAGTGGCCTCACTTGCATGATGAATGGTGGTTATAGTGGCAACAATGTCATTGCTTTAAACATTTTAATAATTTGGATCATAAGGTTGTTATATAGCATGATCAAGAAATGCTGATGCATAATCCAAAATGTCAGGCACATATATATTTTATTAGCTGTGGATCTGTCCTGGGCTACATAGAGGACACAGTGTTGTGCCTAGGATTATGGGAGATACTCTGAGCATGGATGTTGCCTGGGGTGTCATAGGAGCACGTGCTGCTTGCTTTGATCCTTCTTCCAAAAGGATGTATTTACATTAAGGCTTATGAAGTTTCAAAACTGAAAAAGCTCATTCAAGTCTCCATTTCGCAGCTTCTCCATGCTATGTATTCTGGAGTAAGCCCACTGAGAATACCTAATCCCCATAGGGCATTTACAGTTTCAGGGTATGAGAGTGATCATTAATCAGTTTATGATATGGCCATGGACACTGAGTGGTTCCCACTTGGGTCTTCTGTTTTGGTAGATACCAGGCCTTCCAGATTCCAGCACTGGTAAGTCGTCAAGTCTAATGTATATTATGTACATTTAACTTGTTAACTATGGAAGATGTGAACTGGTAAAAAGCTCAATAACGTTGTAAAGGGAGGAGGAAGGGAGAATGGTTTTAATAGAAGGTGCTTCAATGCCTGATTGATGAGCCACAGTTGGATTTTCCTATAGTGATTTAACCTGAAAGCCCACTGGAACCACCCAAAGTAAAGATACTCATTGTGGCTAGAGAAACTGTTGAGAAAGAACTATTTTAATCCTGATATCACATAGTCTGGTTCAGAAAGGAGTTTTCTGTCCTTGGACCATCTGTATTTGAGAGGTGGAGTGCAGTTTTGTGACATCTTTTCTAATAATGTCATTTTGGTATTTTGTTTGCAGGTTTCAAAGATTAGATTACTTATATCTGAATGCTGGGATCATGCCTAATCCACAGCTAAATATCAAAGCGTTTTTCTTTGGCATCTTTTCAAGGTAATTTTCATGTTCTAGACCAGTGGTTCTCAACCTGTGGGTCATGACCTATGTGGGGAGGTGATCAAACTACCCTTTCAGAAGGATCACATATCAGATATTTACATTATGATTCATAACAGTAGGAAAATTACACTTATGAAGTAGCAACAAAATAATTTTATGTTTGGGGATCATCACAATATGAGGAACTGTATTAAAGGATTGCAGCATTAGGAAGGTTGAGAACTACTGTGCTAGATTGCAAGGAAGGCATTCATTTTGCTGCCATGGTTTTTGCCTTTGGTATGTATGTTGAGTGAGAGGGTGCTGTGGAGGATGAAGTTATATAGAAAGGAGGAGTTGGTACCATAGTAGGCAAGTCAAGTACTCATCTTTGTGGAGAATACTGCATGCTGTCATGGTTTTTATAATATTCTAAGTCTCTGGAACATTCCATATCATTAGATGGTTCATGTCATTAGCTTTTGGTCTGGCTAATTGTGCTACTGGCAGAACCGTTTTTTCTGGATAAGGTGACATTCTTAGAGAGCCTTCAGCACCTAGCTGGTGTCAGCTATGCTGACCAGTAAGCCCAGGGGATGCAGAGAACCAGTGTCTTAGAGATTCTCAATACGCACCAGACTAGTGGCTTTCAAAGTTATCTAACTACAAACCAGACTTAGAAATAAGTCGTTTGTAACCCAATGCATTTATTTGTAGAGATTTTTGATGGGGCTACATATTCACTTTCTCTTTACTTTTCTTCATGGAAATGAAACATGCACAAATCCCACTACTAAGCTGACCTCATAGCAAGATGCTCTGTTAATTTGTATGATGCTCTTAGACTTCCTAGTTAAAAGACAACCTGACTAACTTTTTTTCAGTAATTAAACACACTTGGTATGGGTGAAAACTTTTTCTCATTGGAATAGCTGTGATTGCCTGATAGCTTACATGTAATATGATTGGGTAGTGGGAAGAGGAAAGCATGTTTAGTAATTGGAGGCAAAGAAGCATTTAGTAACTAATTTACTATCCACACATGTCCAAGAAATTGGCATTTTGTCATTATAGAATCAAAAGGTGTGTGTGTGTGTGTGTGTGTGTGTGTGTGTGTGTGTGTGTGTGTGTGTACACAAACACTTGTTTGTGACTAACATCTTTAGTCTTTTCAGTTAAAGTAGTTTTAAAAGTCACACTGCTGTCTTCTGCCATTTCAGAAATGTGATTCATATGTTCTCCACAGCGGAAGGACTGTTGACCCAGAATGACAAGGTCACTGCTGATGGGTTCCAGGAGGTGTTTGAAACCAATCTCTTTGGCCACTTTATCCTGGTAAAAGAAAGGCTTGGGTCATACTAATTCCATACTTATTACTGGGATCCTGAGAGCATGCAATGGAAACAGGACTGTTCTGTGAAGCTCCTTAGTTTATGGTTAACTTTCAATCTTGGAGAATTTAAATCTGTTCACTGGCCTCTGAAAATGTGGCTTACCCAGAGGAAGTGGATTTCCGGACACCCAGTCACCTTTAGAAACAACATACTTAACAACAGAAAAAACACACTAGTTCTATTCTAAGTAGTTCTACAAACTGGGCTTGACGTCAGATAGGCTGGGATAGTGAGCACACTGTTATTAGACACATACAGATTAGACTTTTCACTATGGTCTCTCCTTAAGTGGTAATGATAGAGGGTAATTTAATAATGGTACTGATACTCTTATGTTTTTGATGAATCTATTGTTTACAGAGTTAAATTGTTAGGAAAGCAAATGAGGGCTGTGGTCATGGGACAATTGTCACAAGTGTTCTAGTATGTCCTTATGTAGGCAGATATGTCATCAGAGGATTCAGAAACCACTTACCAGATAAAGTGATTCTAAAGCTGTGATTGCAATGCCTTCTACTTCAGTTAGGTTTAGGAATCTCACCATAGTTCATAAAACACAAACTTGAATTCAGGGTTCATGTGTAAAATGAACAAACAGATCCAGTACTAGTTTGATGAGCATGAAAAATAATGACCAGACACTAATGGTTGTTATAGAGAGTGGGGATTGTTTTTGTGAGCTCCAAGTTCAGTGAGGTATTACTATTTAGGAGTGAGTAGCTGACTTGGTTTCATATATGGGTTTTTCTCCGATTGTGTTCACTTACTTGTCTATTGCAGCACGGGGCACATCTGGAAGCCTTGTTGGTAGATTTTTCTTTAATGAACTAATGTTTTCCAGTAGTTGTAAAACTTTTGCAAAGATAGTACGGTGAGTTCTTGGACTTCCTATATTCAGTTTCTTCTTTTGTTGACATTTTGTATCAGTATGGTACATTTGTCAAAATAAATGATAACATACTGACATGTTATTGAGTAAAGTCTATACTAACTTAAGTTGGCATTTTTCTAAAGTCTCATTATCAGCTCTGGCATTTAATCCAGGGCACCACATTGCATTCAATAGTCAAGGCTCCTTAGGTTCTATGTTGTGGGAGTTTCACAGACTTGCCTTGTTTTTGATGACCTTGCCAGTTCATGGGCTTGTTCCCCAGGCATTTCACAAACTTTCTCTGTTAATTTCTCTGATTTTTGTCTCATGGTTAGACTGTAAATATAAAATGCCTTTCTCATCACCTCATATCAAGAATGTATATTCCAAGGCAAGGCATGCTTAGCACGTTCTTATAATTGTAGCATTGGGAGATGGAGGCAGGAATATTGGGAGTTCAAATCCAGCCTGTGCTACACAGTGCATAATATAGGGTGTAGAGCATAGTGAAGTACATAGTGAGAACCTGGCTTAGAATGATGGCCGACAATAGAATTTATGACCTTTTCATGTTAATCTTGATCACCTAGCTTGAGGTGGCTTGTCAGGCTTCCCCACTGTGAGGTCATGCTCCCTTCTCCATACTGTAGTTTTCAGAAGAAAGTTACTGTGTGTAACCCTCATACAAGGAGTTGAACTTCAAATTCTTAAAGATGTAATATCTATAGAAATTGTTTGGATTTTCAGGAAACTTTCTCTTCCATTTTTTAAAAAATTCAATTAATTTTGTATTCATGTAGACTCATGGTTATATATTTTTATATCAAAGTTTTTCATTTAAAAATGACACTTCTCAGCCAAGTGGTAGTGGTGCATGCCTTTAAACCCAGAACTCTGGAGGAAGATCTCTGTGAATTTGAGGCCAACCTGAACTACAGAGTGAGCTTCATGACAGCCTGGGTTACACAGAGAAACCCTGTCTCAAAAACAAAACAAAACATAAACCCAAAAACAAGACAAACAAAAAAGATATTTCTGTAACATATTCTATTTATTAAATATGGCATAGAATGGTGAGTAGATGTATTTATATGATTATCCCTACAATTTTTTCTTGTTTTTCATCTTTCATTTTATTATGTAAGCCAAGATGAACTGTTATCAGAAACAAAGAGCTGGTGCTTGTTGTTACTGAGATGTGAATAGCTTAGACCCTCTCTGCTAATGAAGCAAGGAGATAAATGTGTGTATATCCATACATGTATGTAGCCAGTCCAACATGAGGAAATACTGATGTCTTTAACCCTGATTCATTGCTGCCTGTAAGCCTTCTATCTTCTCCCTCTTGCGACAATAAGAAACCTGTTCATTTTTGTCATATCCTCTTTACTTCTTGAATTCAAGCATACATACACAGTAGTTTTGAATTGTTAGTATAAATCCTTCAGTGGGTTGTGATATCTTCTGTTCTGTGTCGTCTTTACTCAGATCCGGGAATTGGAACCTCTCCTCTGCCACAGTGACAACCCCTCTCAGCTCATCTGGACCTCCTCTCGAAATGCAAGGAAATCTAATTTCAGTCTTGAGGACATCCAGCATGCCAAAGGCCAGGAGCCCTACAGCTCTTCCAAATATGCCACTGACCTTCTGAATGTGGCTTTGAACAGGAATTTCAATCAGAAGGCAAGGCCTGTCTCAGAGATCCAGAAGTTAACCATCAGAGTCACTATTTCTAGGGCATGGCTGACTTCTGCCAACTGTTGTAACAAAAGCCCTAGGGGGAGAGAGAAACAGCTCCTGTCCTTTTAGCAATATGCAGTTTATTTACCATTCTGCATTCCTTAGAAGTGCGGACCTCTGCTAACAGAACTCTCCTCCTGTGATATCATCTGGTGTCTTCCCCCACTGCAGTTGGGTGGCTTTCACTATTCCAGTTTTCAAATGAGAACACTCAAGTTTGGAGAAGTGGGGTCATGTACCTAAAGGTCCCATGACTTGTGAATTGCAGAGCTTACAGTGGAGTGTAAGGCTGGCTGACTTTTTTCCTTCTAAGCCTCATGTCTTTACCCTCTGTCATGCTGATGACTTAAAGGCAACCAAATGTCGTAAACCTTCTGGAAGGTGGTGATATGACTTCGTAGCTCTGTTTTTTTTTTTTTTTTTTTGAGGTTACAGATTATATATAGGGGGAAATAAACCCTTATTGGTCATTCTGGCTCCTACTGACCACAATCATCCGGAATCACAGCTGCTGTGTATTAATTCGTTGCCCAGGTCCAAAATCTTAACAGGAATTCTTGTCTTTCCCACAGGCATTTTCTGGTTGTCATTACAGCTTGGAGTCAGTGTGTTGGTCCTATCATGTGTTTCCTTCTAACATTTTTGAGATCTTTAAAACCTGTTGTAGCTGCTTCCAAGCCCTGTCCATACTCGCTTTTTAGAAGGCAGGGTCAAGTTGGATTTATTCCATGCTTCATAAAAAGCTCTGGGATTTTATTTACATTTTAGTTGTCAAGTAAGGTGTGGGATCTAATTTTTTTTTTTTTTAAAGGAGAGTGAGTGATTAAGCTGATGCAGCTCTGACTTAAAGTCGGTTGGAATCTGTTTTCAGCCCATGGTTTTTCTTTCTTGGCATTCCTAAGAAAGAGAAAGCTTAGAAGGAATTACACTGGGGGCTTCCATTTGAAGCCTTTCTAATGATATTTTTCACATTTTTGGTTTACTTTTTCAACAAATTACTCATTGTTTTAGTTTTTGTTGTTGTTGTTTAGTTTTTTTTTGTTTGTTTGTTTGCTTGTTTTTGGTGCTGGAAATCAAACCTGGAGCTTTGCACTTGGTGCCATACCACCTGAGCAGTGACCTCAGTTCTCCAGTGATGGGTTTCTGTCTTCTCTCTGCATCTTTCTGTCTCTCCAGCATCTTTTGTATCCCAGGCTGGCCTCAAACTTGGCATATAGCTGATGATGCCACACAACCACACCTGATTTTATACATGTTAGGCAAGCACTCTGTCAACTGAGTTACAACCCCAGAGCCTGTGTTTTGAGACAGGTTATCACTATGTAAATTTGATTGGCCTTGGACTGGTTTCTAGTTTAAGTGAGCCCCAAATTCAAAATTCTGCCTCTTTCCAAGGGCTAGGATTGTGTGGCCATGTCCTACTTTTTATTTAAAGAGAAAGAGAGAGAGAGAGAGAGAGAGAGAGAGAGAGAGAGAGAGAGAGAGAGAGAGTGCAAGAGATTAAAAGTAACAAGAATGAGTTAAAATAGTCACTTTAACAAGAATATAAAATGTAGTAAAATTAATTCCAGAGCTCTAGGGCTTACTATGGTTGGCACAGGGTAATTCTTAAACTACCACAATCATTGTATCGAGGCTTCCTTTATAGAGCCGTATGTACATATATGATAGATCCTTACCCAGTGATTAGTCCTTCTCTAAGGACTTAACTGGAGATCTTGAGTTGAAGGTTTTTGTTCCTCCTGATGCTAAGAGCATCCAATTCAGCTGTGTTCCTACCTTCTTAATGCTCTTACCCCTGTAATACAGTTCCTTGTGTTGTGGTGACCCCCAACCATAAAATTATTTTTATTGCTACTTCATAACACTAATTTTTTTTTACTGTTAGTAATCATATTATAAATATTTTTGGAGTTAGAGGTTTGCCATAGGGGGTGCAATCAATAGGCTGAGAACCTCTGCTACATGGAAACAGCATATATTTTAAATTTAGCCACTGTATGTAATCAATCAGAAACTAATTGAAGGTAAAAATTAACCTCAGTAAGCCTATTATATACTTATTGGAATTGATGAATTAATCTTTAATTAAACCATCATCACAGGTGGCTTTCTTTAAACTATAACTTTTTTGAAAATAGACTTCATTTTGCTAACTTTTGCCTGCTGATCCTAGTAAGTGATTTTAGATTTAAATGGTCCTCCTAAGGACAGCTGAGAGCACAAACTTGCCATTCCCGGGTTTTCCGGCTTTTATGTTTGTCTTTTGTTAACGAGCATCCCTGAACTGAATCAATATGCATCCAGTTCAAATCCTAGTGCAACTCTCCTCTGTGTTCCCAGGGTCTGTATTCCAGTGTGATGTGCCCAGGGGTAGTATTGACCAATTTGACATATGGAATTCTGCCTCCCTTTGTGTGGACCTTACTCCTGCCAGTGATGTGGCTGGTAAGTGGTAAACACTTAACTATTTTTTTTTTTTTTTAAATTCAGAGTTACGAAATATTAAGAATGCAACTCTAAGTGACAGACTTCCATTTGACTTGACATTTTTGAGTTGCTGTAATAATAAATGCAAATTTTCTTTCTTAAATCTAAGTGAAAAAAAAAATTGTTCTTTTTGTTACTGCTCTAAATAGCCACATAATACCTACTGCTTTCTTTTTGTCAGCTTCGCTTCTTTGCAAACGCTTTCACCTTGACGCCGTATAATGGAGCAGAAGCGCTGGTACGTTACTGGTTTCACAGCCTGTAAAGTACTTTGTGGTGGGAGCTGTCAGTCCACTGATGGCAGTGAGCAGTGTCAGGGTAAATACGGCTGTACCCAATGCCTTTGCGATCTATTGACTCTTTCACAGGGGTCACATATCAGATACCCTGCATGTCAGATGCTTACACTGTGACTCATAACAGTAGCAGAATTACAGTTTTGAAATAGCAGCGAAATAATTTTATGGTTGGGGGGTCACCACAGTATGAGGAACTGTATTAAAGGAGTAACATTAGGAAGGTTGAGAACCACTGTTATACGGGACTAAGCTCTGTGGACAAGCAAGCTCCATTTGGGACTATTATGTTACACATAAGAGATATCAGAAGTTTGACATTTAGCATCTGCTGTGATGTTGGATACCATGACTATCGAAAACATACTTCTATGGAAGCAAGATGCACCAGCAGCTGCAGGAGAGGCAGTTAAGAACCCCCAGAGAGGTGGCTCCGTGGTTAAGAACTCTTGTTTTTGTAGATGACCCGGTTTTCCCCTCACTACCCATGTGCAGTTCATAATTGTCTACGACTCCAGTTTGAGGAGGTCCAACACTCTTTTCTGACCTCCACAGGCACCTGGTATGCCCATGGTGCAGATACACATGCAAGCAAAACACTCATACACAAAAAAATAAATCTAAAGCAAAATGTAAAGATTCTTCTTCCTCTCTCGATACTGGGGGAATCAAGGATCAAGGTACAAGAGGATCGAGCATATTAGGAAGATAGGCTTTCCTGGAATGATGCCTACCAGGTGGGCTGTGTGTGTTTCAGGACTTTTAGCATAGAAACTGGAGGGCTAGTACTGTGGTGACCAGGCTTGATGCTTCTTATATTTTGATCAAATTGAGTTTGGGGAAACATGAAGGGAGTGAATGCTAAGCATTAAAAAATCAAGTACCTTTTTGTCTAGACATAAATTGATTGTGAAAACAAGTGCTTTTAGACTGTATTGGTGTAGTTGCCAAGATATAAGAAGTATTAATGTGTAGTCCTTTAGGGATTTCTCATTCTGTGCATCTGTGGTATGGAAAGTCTTGTCCAGAGGATCACATATATGTTGCACATCAGTGGTGTGGGATATGTTTAGAAGGGAAAAATCCTCTGTTGCTAAGTAGCTTAGAGTTGTGTTTAAAAAAGTAATGAATCTATAAAATAGGCAAGAAAACAGGACATCTTGTCATTGGGTGGGGAATGTTGGGACCCATAGCGGCTGGAACTAGATGTAGGCTCTGAGGTACCAGGTGCTTGGATAGGATGAGCACCGTGATCCTAGTATCACAGTTTGTAAATCATTGTGAAGGGCTGGAAAAATAGCTCAGTGGTTAATAGTACTTGCTGCCCTTATTGAGGACTATGGTTCAGTTCCTAGCATCCATATGACAACTCACAACTGTCTGTAGTCCTATTTCTAAGGATTCTAATGCCTTTTTAGGCATATACATATATTCAGGAGAAACACCCATAGAATAAAAATTAATGTTAAAACAAAATCCATGGTGAACCTACTATAATTTTGTAGAATGTACATGAAGAGAAGGGCATAATCCTAAATGTAACCTACTGATGTATGGAGATGCTGGTGGGGTGAGTGATGGTAGCACATTATGTGAGCATTTAGGATCTCTTTCAATCTCTAAGTTTTGCATGCTTGGAGGTGGGAGGGATGGGGGGGAGTTTGAGCTTGAGCTAAGGCATAGGCCAAACATGAGGATGCCACAATTACAGTTACTATTCAAATCCAATTTCTCCAGTTCCTGGCTTAGAACCCTTGAGCATGTTTTGCATGCATCTGGGCTTTTATTATTTGTAAAGCAAGAATCAGAGGGAGTAGGGGCATTGCAGAGGACTCATTATATCCCAGCAGTTCATATTTTTAAAAAAGATGTTAACAACAAATACAGTCTGATGAGTAGAAAGCTTAGAAATTGGCCCATAAACATACAGAGATTTAGTATATAATAATGATCAGAGTTAGAGGGAAAGATGGGCATTTTTAGCAAGGTTGTAGCCAAAGAGGAGTTTATGATATTATATTTCCCGCCTTCCCCAAAATAATGTTCTAGATAGTTGAAGAGGTTTACATGTCAAAATTACAATATATACAAATATTTGGAAGAAAATACAGGGGATTTGTGTGAAGTTTCAGAATGTGAAGGCTTATCCAAATGTGGAAATTCTCGAAGAGTGAAAATTAATCCCAAATAAAGTACAAGGTGGAATACAAACATCTGTCTTAGATGAAGGTGGGTATTTTCTTAGTAAATCAAGAATCCTAGCAAAGGGAAGACAGATGAAAGACAGACACAACAATTGTGAACATTTCAGTCATGTGAAAAGATGCTTCATCACACTGATGCTGATTGAAGCACAAAGTAGATCTGTAATTCAGAGCTCAGCTCAGATTAACAAAGCTTAGGACATTTGACCTGGGGCTATGGTGGCTGATAGGAAATGAGAACACGCCTGCATCCCAGAGCTTCTGCGGAGTATTCAGGATTAGTCAAGTATCAAAGGCACATACCCTTCACCCAGAACTTTCAGTTTTGGCGTTGCTTTTATAGATGTACTCATCATCCATCATAGTTTAGATTGTAATAATAAAGACTGCAGTCTACTGCACATGTCTTTTAATTAAAAGCCAAACATAGACATTACAGCTCATGCCCAAGATAGAGTCCTGTAATTCCAAAAGCAAATGGAAGAGTTTTGTATATACAGATTTGAAAATTTGCAGGTATGACGTTCAAGGGAAAATGTCTGTGTGTTATGTTTCCATTTAAGAGAGAAGGATATGTGTTTCTAAATGAAGAGAGATATTTCTTGGCATGACCACACATACTAGGAGAGAGGGTTACTCCCAGAGATGTTAGCTAAGTGGCTGTGAAATAGGAAAAGGAAAAAGACTTCCTTTCTGTGCTATGCTCATCGACTGGACATGTGCATCTCACATGCTCAGTAAAATATCCCAGCAACCTGTGCTGTGCTGTGTGTGCTAACAATGATACTAAATACACCAGTGTGAGAGACATGAATTTACATGGGAATTAAGGAGAAGATGGGTGAATGAGGATTGTTTTGTGGATTTCTTTTGTTTTGTTTTTATTTAGATTAGCTCTCAAAGTCTACTGTGAAGCAGGCTGCCTTAAATTCTCCCTTCAAAATATGATGGCAGTTTCCAAACACATTTAGATTAGCTTTTTGAGAGGAATCTTGCAATTTCACAGATTGCCCTGTAAAGCACTGATGGCAAATGCCACTTGCTTGGGGCAGGAACAATGTCACTGACATGCTTTTCCTTTCCAGGTGTGGCTTTTCCGCCAGAAACCCGAGTCTCTCAATCCTCTGACCAAATACCTGAGCTCCACCACAGGCTTTGGGACGAATTATGTCAAGGACCAAAAGGTAAGTCTGTTTGTATTGTCACGTGGAAGATGCTGCCAGTCTGACGCACTGGGCCCATGATGCTGACAAATCAGCACACAGCTTGTGTGTGCCCAAGTCTTCACTGGCATTGTCATGGCTCGTGTCATTGTTTTCCGCTTCCTCAAGTCTCAGAGATTTGGGCGGCATCTTCCTGTTAAGCATCTCTTATGTGTATTCCTGTTGATGTCTGCTCAATCCTCTGTGCCTCTTCGGATCGGGCCCTATGCTCTATTGTGGGATTTCTCAGACCTATTCTCTGTAGCCCTCACTCTCAGCTGCCCCCGTCGGTGTATAAGCTCTGCGAGAGGGCGTACCTGTGTCCTTACCTCACGTGGAGACATAATAAACACATCATGAGTTGTATGCAACATAGAGCATCTTTCTGTGTGACTTTAACATCTCTTGCAATATGCACTCTGTTTGAGATTATTATCACCTTCTAACCCCCTGTTTTGAAGAAGTAGGGGGTAGAATAGGGAAAATCAAATAAGTATTTTCTCTTGTCGAGTCTAATCGTAAAAGAAATCATATATATTTACGTGGGGGGAGAGTGAGAACATTTCCTTGGGACTACAAGCACATGCTGTAGCTTTGTCACAGGCAAGGCGTATTGTAGTCTCCTGTTTTCCTCTGTTCAGCTTTACTGAGGATGCATTGGTATAAAGTACAATTGGATGGAGGCAGTTAAATGACCTCTGTCAGTTTGGCAGCAGCATGAGTTTAGTGACAGCCAATCTTCTGTGTTGCTACCCATGTCTCCTGCTAGTAAAAGCCAGCCTTTCATATTTTTTGGAAACACGAGTTGAGTGACCTTTCATGTTGTCTTTCCCTTGCTGGGTTCCCGGGAATGGCTTTGAGATGTTGAAATAGTTAAGTGGTGTAGAGGTGACATGGCTGATCATTGATCTTGGTATCTACAAATTGTTCTTTACTGCATGGATTGTTTATTTGTTGTTGTTTTGTTTTAAGACAGGGTTTCACCATGTAACTCTGGCTGTCTGGAACTCTGTCTTAGTTAGGATTTCTGTTTTGTGATGAAACACTATGACAAAAGCCACTTAAGGAGGAAAGGGCTTATTTAGGCATCTCACACTTCCACGTCATAGTCCATCATTTGAGAGCAGGAACCTGGAGTCAGGCACTGAAGCAGAGGCCATGGAGGAGTGCTGCTTATTGGCTTGCTCCCAATGGCTTGCTCACTTTGCTTTCTGAAGATAGCACCCAGGACTTTGATCTCAGGGATGGCATTGCCCACTGTGAGCGGGTTTCTCCCACATGGTCCATCAATCACAGGATTGCTCACAGGCCATTTTTTGTGGGATCATTTTCCCCAGTTGAGGTTCCTGCTTCAAAAATGATTGTAGCTTGTGTCAAGATGACATAAAATTTGCCAGCACTAACTGGTTATTTAACCCTTTAGGCCTGCAGTGGCTGGCTGCAGGGATGTGTCTGTCTCTGCCTTCTGAGTTCTGGATTGAAGATAATCACCACCATGCCCCATGCTTTGAGTTTTGTTTGTTTGTTTTAAACTCAAGTTTGACTTAACTCATAATCCTTAATGGCCACTGTTTCAATTTATAAGCTCACTTTAAGACTTTATTTAAATCATTTAAATTTGCTATATAACCCTATGGGGAGTGATTTACTTATTAAGGGGAGAAAATGTTTAATTTTACAAACCCAGATATTTCACATAATTTTCTATGAATGCATTGAAGAAAATATGTTAGCCTCTGATTCATTTGGGGGAAATCTGCTTTCCCTCTGTTAAAGGACAGGGGAACCAGTGATAGACCTTGGTGGAGGGGAGTCATTGTCTTCAGTTGTGTGGCCGTTGCTGAGTGCTCATTGCTGCTGTGGACGGCTTCACCCATGTACATGTGGACCACCCAGGTTAAACCCAACATGTCACAACACAAAGACAAAACGATGTAAAAGCAGGAAGAGAGAGGAGTGGAGGTGGAGTGTGGATGAGTGTAGTAAGGATGCACATAGGTGACATTGGACAAGAGTGATCTGTAACATTTCCAATTTCAAAATGAAGAGCAGGATTAAGTGAGAATAATTGTTATGTCCAAAATGTTAATATGTTTCCTTAATCCGTAGTTTTAAGAAGACCCTATTTTGCTGACTTGCAAAAAAGAGAGCCTGGTTGTAGGAGCTTAGAGATGATTCTTATCATCAGTTAAAGTAAGATTTTTCTACAGGAAGAACAAGAATGCAAAACAGTAGTGACTTAAGACAGAATCTCTCATTTCTTGCCACAGAAGCCCTTTGGAAGGGGATGAACATTGATAGGAAATCAGACTCTAGATCTCCTTTCTCCCTCTTTTCCTTTAGCAGTTGGTTGGGTACTAGGAGACAGAGTAGGAAAAAACACTCGCATTTCATATCTTTGCAAGCAGCGGGAGGTTTGGTGAGTGCCGAGTTTATGTGAATATTAATGTCCTCAGTATTTCCCAGCAGTCATTGAATGGCCCCCTCTGCCCTTCCTAGCTTCCAGTTCTCTTACACACATGAACCCCCTCTCTTTACTCTCGTGCAGTTTGCTTTGTTTTTCTTTTGCAGTCATCTCTATTTGTGTTTATTTTCCAGATGGACATAGATGAAGACACCGCTGAGAAATTTTATCAAACCTTACTGGACCTGGAAAAGCGTGTCAGGGTCACCATTGGAAAGTCAGATCTCCCGAGCTGACGGTGACAGTCTCCATAGCATCCAGTACCTGCTGGACATTCCAGAATACGTGGCTGTCCATCATGCTGGATGATGCACATCTGTAGTAAACCATAAACCAGGATAATCTCTGCTCCTACCTTTCAGAACTATCTCCAAGACTCTGTGTGTGTGCACATGTGTAGACATGTACACATGTGTGAGAAAGGATTGGCAACATAGAGGTACCAAGTAAATACCCTCCAGTAGTGTCCTTTCAGATTGCTATAGGCTTCCTGCAGAGTATCTGCATACAGCATTCTGCCACCTGGAGCCCAGTAGATGAGACTTGAATGACCGGGTCACAGGTACAGCCTGAACCTCCTTTTAGTTCCAGCAAGGAGGGGCAATGCTACTGAGTAGTAGTGCTAGCTTTTTTTCTCTATGATCATTTTCCTACTCTCTGTGGTCTTCTTCATATGCTTCTCTGGATAATCTTAACGATCGTCCATCCCAGTGGTCCCCACGTGACTGCCCACACAGCCAATCTCAGGAGCAAAGTGTGAATGTGTTTGGGCTATGTACATTATTTATTCTCTTTAAAAGCATTTTGTTTTTATCAGGTAGCAGAGCCAACAATGAGCCTGGTCTTTAGTCAACATCTGCAGATGTATTCGTAACAACAGTTTATCTTCATGATTATATTTTACTAGAATTAAAACTATAGCAAAAGTTATTTATTGATGTTTCAATAAATTGTGAAAAAGCAAAACAAAACAAAACAAAAAAAAAAAAAACCACAACAAAAACAAAAAAAACAAACCCCAAAACAAACTCAAAAACCTAAGAAGCTGCTACTAGGCCATGTCTGCATGTCTGGCATCTGGTGCACAATGGAAGCAGAAGGAAATAGTTATGTTTGAGGCATCAGTTTATATGATAAATTTTTCAAACTTTTTCTCTATAAAACTAAAAGAGCCACACCTGAGCATCCTTTGGTATGAATCAGAATGCTAAAGGTGGCTAGATATTTTTTATCATAAATAAAGCCATCCTAATCACTTGGGATATAATAAAGTCAGTAAATTTTTTAATAGAAGTTAAGAAAAATACATAAATATGATTTCCCTACAGCTTGTGCTATGAAATTTTTCTGATTAGAGCTTTTCTAATTTTGTTGACCAAGATCTTCTTGTAAAGATACAGATGAAAATGGGTGCATGCCCTCCCCGCATCTTTTCGAAAGGAGGGTGGAGCTTAGCATGGGGTTGTTCTTTGTTCGTTCTTCATCCATTCAGAACTCCCATTTGGAAAAGGCTCCTTCTCCATGGTGAGCTCACATTTATTGTGTAAAGTGAACCCTCTTTGCTCTATTGCTCATGGGTTTGCAGTGAGGAGGGGACTGACGATCTGTGTGTACTATGAACACCATCATTTTATAGAGATCAGTAAGGAAGAGTGCCAGGGTCCAGACACTGCACACACGGTACCATCTAGCCACCGCCCATCTATTCCTCACAGCATTTCCAGGAGACAGTGTGGAGCACTGCAGGATGGAAAGGGGAAGATTATGGGCCCTCGGGCTGGGTAGTCATAGTCGAAACTGTCCTTGAGAGAGAAGAATAGCTTGGGTTTTGATTATTTGTGAGTTTGGAAAAACATGTCCTCTTCCAGTGTTGCCAACTTATGAACATTAAGGTATTCATAGAATTTCTTCTTACTGGCTGCATTAGTAATCCTCTCTCTTTTATTCTTGATACTGATATCTTTCCATAGTCAGTAGTTCAGGGAGTTTTCCAATTTGCTGGTGTTTTCAGAGACCCATGTTTCTGCCTGACTGATCTTTTTTTTTTTTTAATCCCTAGTTGCTTATATGTTTTCCATAGACATTTAACTCTGCTTGTTTTAATTATCTTCTTTTTGCTCTCATTGGGTTAAAATAAGCCATCCTACCCCTCCCCCCCAGTTTCTTATTACTTATTTAGAAAGTTTTCTTCATGGCGAGCCTGGTTTAACTGCACCCCATGTTTGCTGACATACTGCCTTGCTTTTATTTTCTTCTTTTTAACCCTAGATTTTTTTATTAATTTTTGTTGAGGTAAATTATTAAAAGTGTTATTTAGTGTTCATATTTTTAGAGATTTAAAAGGTTGGTATTTGGCAGGGGAGATAGTTTGGTGGTGGAGAGTACTGGCTACTCTTCCTGAGGACCCATGTTCAATTCCCTATACCACGTGGTGGCTCACAAACATATGTAACTTCAATTTGAGGGGATCCAACGCCCTTCTTCTGGCTTCCGTGTATACCAGACATGCATATGACACATAGGCAGACAGAACACCTATACTCATAAAAATAAATAGTTCTTTTAAAAGTAGTTTGTTGGAATTTTCTAGTTTCATGGTGTAGTCCGAATACACTCAATCCTATTTCTATATTCAATTTTTTGGGTTTTATTTATGGTCCAGGATATTTTCTACCTGTAGTATTCTGTGGATTTTTTTTCACACCTTGCTTGCTGGTATTTCCTCTTTAGAACACTGGAGATTGTTCTCTTTGCACTTTGTACAGAGTGCATGGTTGCTTTTCTGGCAGGTGTCAAATGAGAGGACCATGCTGATCTATTGAAAACAACATTTCTCATCTTCCCATCAGCTTTTATTTCTGTTATAATTTCACTCTTCTATTTCTTTCCTGTGTTCAGTTAGTTTTTCTTATTCTATTTTTGTTTTAGTTTCAAAATTTTGATTCATTTATTATTTATTTTTATTACTTATTTATTTTGCATGCTTGGGTGTATTGACTTAGACTATGGTGCCCATCTTCTCCCTCGCTTGAGGTTGATTCCCTGGGCAGGAATGCTGCATATAGTTGTCAACTGGACTTTTTTTTTTTTTTTTTTTTTTTTCATTTTCTTTCAGTGAATATCATATCCCTCAGGTTTTATCATCCTTTGGAAAACAAAACAAAACAGAGTATTTATTTGAGGGCCAGAGAGATGGCTCAGCTTAAGAGCTTTGACTCTTCCAAAGGACCTGGGTTCAAGTCCCAGCACCCACATGGTGGATCACCATTTCTGTAACTCAAGTTCCATGGGACCTGGTGTTCTCTTCTAGCCTCTTGGACATAAGACACACAAGTAGTGCACAGACATACATGTAGGACAGACATTCATATACATAAAGATAAATCTTTAAAAAGGAATCCCAAATTTAAAAAAAAAAAAAACCAAAACATTAATTTGGGGGAAAAAGAATAAAGTTGTGATAGAACTAAAATCTGTGCACATCACCAAATCCTTGTTACCCTGAAAGACTCCTGATAGACATTTAGAAGCAGGCTGCTGCTCAGGTTCCTCTTCCTGCTTCTCTCCAGGCTAACCTGGAGTGCACCCTCCCATCCTACCTAGAGGATGCTAAGCACATTTGAAGTCTCCAGTCTGAGAGACATATACCAGGGTTGGACTACTTTTATTTTCCTTGTATTGATAGAGGGTGCTTTAAAAATTACCTATTTGCATCAAGCTATGTGTTTATAAATCTTACCATTCTTGTTTGATTTTTAACCTTTGATTGTAAGAGATGTTATCTATTTAATAAAGAATGAAACTCTTGTCTACAAATCATTTATTTATCTAATTTGTACTTGTTTCTCTTATTGTCTTTTGACATACCAAAGGGTCAGCTCCAAGACCTGTTATTATCCATAGTTGTATTTCTAGCTTTCAATCAATGGCTGACATTTACTAGGCTCTTGATAAATACATGAACAGTTGATTGAACAAGTGTTTGCTTGAGTAAAAGTATGCTATTTTGGTTTTTAGACTTAGTTGTTTTTTATTATGCCAAAATTAAATACACACACACACACACACACACACACACACACACACACACATATATATATATATATATATATAATCTTGATTTGGAATAATATTTGTAATACCTAGCTAGAGTTTACTGAGGCTCTTTTATTGTCTAAATTTTAGAACATTATGTTATACTAATAAATATGCATGTTTCTCATTATTGTCTGTACTTGCAAGTTTGCAAGTTAATGCTTGAAGAACAACTTGACAGTGTTTATCACAAGTTAAAATGCATGTGCCTTTAGCAATTCAGCATCTCTAAATTTACCCTCAAGATATAACTCAAATATATACAAAGTGTCAGGGTTACTGTTGCCTATTGGAAACTCTTAGAGCTAAATATTCTTCAAAAATTAAGATTGCTTGTACTTTGGAAGGATAAGTTGGTGCAGACAATACAATATGTTTTGTAACAGCCCTAGAGGGAGTTAGGATAACAACCTATAACGAAAGCCAGTTGTATGTCAGCGAAAAAAGATGCATGAATTCACATTAAAGTAGTATAGAAACTATAAATAGCCTCACACCAGCTCAGCTAGAGTTTAGCTGCCAATAGAGTGTGCCAAACATGTGAAGGATGTCGCATGCTTTAAGCTGTTTGTCCTTTGGAATTGCAGGTGAGGGATTTTAGACCCATAACAGCACTGTTCACTGCGGAATCTTTGTCCAGTTACAGCAGGAGAATACAAAGAACTTAAGCATGTTTATCCAGTCTTCAGGGTGCTGGACAAAGAATGAGGTCATTTGCAAAATATACACTAAAAATAATAGTATAAATAATCTTTGAAAAGGGGATGAGGTGGGTCTGCATGGATTGTGGGTTAAATGAATAAAACCAGATGCTGTAGAAGGCAGGGAAGTCTTTGTGTGCCCACAGATAAGCACTAGGGGAAGCTGGAATGTTAAGCACATAGGGTTGTTCCCCCAAAGGGAGAGATGCATAACCTGTTAACCCCCCCCCAGAAGACTGGGAGTTAGCCTGGTGACTATGGTGGAGACCACACTGGATCTCCCCCAGACTTTTATCACTAGCTTGTTTTTCTCAGTTAATCTACAGAACCTGTCTACAGAAAGGGTCACATGTACTTCACAAAGATTTTTGATGTAGTGACATCGAATTTTTATTTATCTTGCCTTTTAAATCATGATTCATATTTGCTTTATTGTGCACACGGGATTGAGTGAATTATGACCAGGAATGTTTTCACCAAATTGTGCTGTGTTTAAATATGCTTAAAATAAACTTCTCAGGGTCAGAAAAACAACAGAGGCAAGGGAAGACTGTTTTCATTGTTAACTGCTCAGTGTAAGGGAAAAAGAAAAAAAAAAAAAAAGCAAAAAAGGATGATAGGGAACATGAAGAGTTATTCATGACAGTTTCCAGATTTTGATATTCAAAGTCAAGGGGAGATCATTTAGTTTAGCCCACCAAAACAGAAAGAGAGAGACCGACCACTCAAAAACAGAGGCACTCCCGATACTGGACGTGCAAGTGCTAGTGAGACTTGTGGACTAGTCGGAGATGGGTGGCAGGTTCCTGGGCTGTATCTTAGCTACCAGAGGTAACCCTTACGCTTTGGCCTCTGGGTCAGCCATC